TTTGAATTTTTTTTTTAAATAAACATTTATGTACCATTCTATATAATAAATTTGGAAAGTGGAGTCAATGAAAGATAGACAACTTAATCAAATAAAGTAATATTAGAATTGGAAATTAGAAAAAAAATGTACTTAAGACCTAGAAAGCCATTTCCGTAAAAGTCAAATAACAAACAATACTTGAAAAATATAGGAAGAAACAAAAGTTAAAAAGTTAAATATAAGAACAAAAGACAAGAAATCATAGAAGTAAGCAACAATTTGAGAACTTATATAAATGTAAGAATAAAAGACAAGAAATCATAGACGTAAACAACAACTTGAGAACTTAAATATAAGCAATAAAGAAGAAATAGAAGAAAAAAGTTATTAAGCTAAAAGTCTTGCTTAGAAAAATTAAGAGATTGATATTACTCTGAGAACCAATACTCTTTTATGTCATTTTTTGCAATTATAGAGTTTTTGTATATAGTAATTTTGTCACCCTTAAAGTTTTACATTTAACACTTATACATAGAAATGTTTCAACAACTATTTTACACTACTTTATATTGAAGTTCTACTTTATCATCATATAAAAGTATTATTAATAAAACATAAATAATTATGAAATGGTTAGACCAAACTCATAACAAAAAAATACATCACAAGTTTTTGTTCTTAAAGAGTTAATAACATATCCTACAAACATTTTAACAACTTCACGAATCTCTCTAATCTTTTAAAGTTATCTATGATGCAAAATAACGTAAGTCAATATAAACTCGTGAAATTTTTATAGACATTTAATTGAATTTTATGTAGTTGACAGTATATTATTTAGTTTATATCATTTTTATGTATAAAATAATTTCTAATTACATTTTTCATTTTCAACTATTATTTTTCATATAATATCTTAAACTATTCTTAAAAGAAATTAAAATAAAATAAAACAACGTATTAGTGGACTTCATACCTTCATTATATTGGTATGATGATTTAAAAAAAAAAATATTTGTAGATAATTTTACGTATTAGTATTAACACGTTAATGTTAATTAAATTACGACGAGTAACTTAAACAATATTGCCAAAAACAAATCGTGTAAACAATTTAATGAGTAAAAATTATCATGTAAAATTATATATATATATATATATATATACTGTTATCAAGATAAAATATATTTAAATATATGTGTTTATATCAATAATTTACTTAATTTCTTTATCTTTATCTTAAATTTGAGTCTTTATTATCTATTAACGTTAACCCAACGCACAAACATAATTTGGATATGTATAAATTTAAAGTAATCTGAAAAAAAAAGTTATTTATATTGAGATTTAAATCTCTTCAGAAGCAAAATATATATCATTTTTCGGGATCAAATACAAGCTTATAGAACCTATGAAATATCAACAAATGAAATGATTAATCACAAATTTCATTATTAAGTAAGATAGTTAGCATTTAATATCATTTCATGCCAAACATAGAAACTCTGTATTTATCCATCTTTTGCTCAATCCAGCTATCATAAAAATAAGTGTTTATTCATCACTTTCATTTACTTCCACTAATCAAAGAATCATGCAATAAGATTTAGGCATGATAAATGTAACATCTTTCAACATATTCTTTTCATAACTATAGAAATAATCTTTTTCCACAATCAACAACATACTTAGAGGAAAATTTATCATGATCATTCAAGTCCATGTGATATTATTATTGACTTGACATCACCATTTAATATAATATTATTCTTACAAAAGGAATGCAATTCACAATCTTCTTTTATAAAATCACGACAAACATCAATTAAAATAAGAAGGTTCAAAGATATTGTAACCCAATATATATTATAAAAAAAGATATTATAAACCTAATTTAAAGTGCAAAATCAACTTCACTTGAAATTTTGACATAAAAATAAGACAATTAAGCTAAGATTGAGAGAGATAAATTTGAAGATTTTTGCATCTCTTTCCAAAGACACCGGCATTAAAATCTAATATGTATATAGATCTAGTAATGACTTACACAAGACAAATACCTCTAAGTGAGAAAGATTCAAAAATTAACAAAGATTTCTAATTATGATCACTAACACCCTCTAGTTATAGATTCACTTAATATATTAATGTCAAATACGAATATAGGTCAATTATATCCAAATAGATTAAAAATATATGATTCAATGTCAAAAAGATACACATTGCAAGATTTTATGCAACTAAACACTTGAAATTGAAATATTCTCATATCAAAATTTAAACAATAGATAAAACTATTAAATAAATAAAAATAATTCATTGTGTATCCTAAAAATATTTGATTTAATGTGATTGAGGTTTGTATTTTCTCAACTGCAATACATTATTTGAAGATAAATGTATTAATTTATTTAGTGTATTATAAGTGAATATAATAAATAATATAACGACGAGATAAACATGTACATATTTATCTCATTTCATACTCAATTTAAAAAGTCAAGTACTAATGAATACAAGAATTTCTTATTAAAATAGGAATCAATTTAGAGAGACTGAATTTATTATTTATTTATTGTCTACTCACTTGAGTTAACCTCTAACTTAAGCAACTTATTTATGTTTCCTTATAAACACATAATAATGTTTCTTAAGCAAAAGTTCCTTATAAACACATATACTAACATGTGTTTGTATTAGTTTCCTGACTTTTTCAAATATTAATTAAATAATTTTTTTAAAAGAAAAATATAACAAAAAAATATCATCAATGAATTCAATGTCGAAAACATACACATGACAAGATTTTATGCAACTAAATACTTGAAATTAAAATATTTTCATGCCAAAAATTAAACAATAGATAAAACTATTAAATAAATAAAAAATAATTAAACGTGTATCCTAAAAATATTTGATTTAATGCGATTGAGGTTTGTATTTTCTCAACTGGAATACAATGAAACTGAACAAAAGAAAAAATATATGTAATTAAAGTTGTGATAAAAAAAATATAAAAAAATTTGAACAAACTTTGTGAACATTAAATCAGTCAAACAACAATTGAGAGAAATANTTGCCATTATATACCTTGAGTATATCCAAAAGTCTCGTCCATTGATTATATCTGCATGTAGAACGAAAGCTATTTTAATTGCAACAATCGTAACCAAACCTGACAATGATCACTAATGCTGACATAACCAAATGACATGGATTCATCACGAAATGTGTAGCATGAAAAGTTACCTGGAGGTGATTTGTACACTTCTATTTTCAACTGGTCCTAACTTTATCTCAATGAGATCAATACAATAACCTTAATGTACAAAGTGTAATTTCTGAATAATAAACCAGAATGTATGCATACATCAAAACCAAACATAGAACACAAACACACGAAGATGACTAACTCAGATTGATCCAAAGATTCCTCAAACTGTAAAACACCCATATAAGCAATATGTTCATGAACGACCTTGGGTGTAATAGCCTTATTAAGAGGATATATCATCAAGGAGTTTGTTCTTTCAAATCCTTTCATAATATGCAGCCCTGTGACAAAAATCAGCCATATACCTTGATTTGATGCCTTATAATATGCTACAAATTCTGCAATCATAGTGGATAAAGCCATAAGGATTTTCTTGGTACTAGACCAAGAAACCACACCACCAGCTAACATGAAAATGTAACATGAAGTGGATCCTAAACTATCTTGGCATCCTACAAAATTATCAGAATACTTGATGATCTCTTACTGGTCTGACCCTATATACGTGAGCTTATAAACCTTTGTTCTCTTGAAAAAACCTCATAAATTTATTGGTTGTTTTCCAAAGATCCATTCATTAATTGCTTAAATGTTTGCCTAAATCACCAATTATATATCCTATATCCGGATGCGTACATACTTGGACATACATCAAACCCCTTATCGCTGAAACATAGTGAATCTTCTGCCTTTCTTGAATTTCTAAATTTCCTTTTGGGCATTGATCGAGACTAAACTCGTCTCCCTTCATGATAAAAGCTTTATGGATGTCATCAACATACAAACCCTCTCCTTTTGAGTATAGTCCTTCGTCACAAGACAAACTTTATACCTCTCCATATTACCATTAGAATCCCTTTTGGTCTTAAGTATTCACTTATTTCCAATGGGGTTCATACCTTCTAGTAAGGGCACAAGTTCTCAAACCTTATTGTCTTACATAGATTTATACTCCTCGTGAAACACATGTTTATGAGGATCTTGAGTTTGTTCTTATAAAGGTTCTAAACTTACTAGAGGTTTTGAACTTTACGAATTAGATCACTTCCAACAATTCTTCCTATAAATTTTATTCTTCCCCCCAAACTCAATATCCTTAAAGAATATTATGCTTAGTATCATGCAATTCCATATTTAAGGATTCATAATAGGAAGTCACCGTATGAAGAATATATAGATTATTATTTGCCAAAAATGAATCGGTTTCAACAAAACTTGAATAAGAAACATTTGAATTCATTATTTCCAAACTAATATAAATAACAAAATTTGTCCAAATAAACAAATGAAATAAAATTCCGCCTAAATGACGGTACAATGAAATGTCTTTCAAAACCAAAATTTAGAAAATCACTACAAAATAATAATCTAAAACATTCTATCACTTCCATGACTACAAATTTAACATCTCTAAATAGATTCATCTTTCAAAAATAATTGTCTTTTGATAGCTTAGTCAACCCTTTCTTTGGCACACCAAGCATCATATTTTGTGCATTCCTTTTTCATGTGTCCAACTTTATTGGAAAAGAAACATTTATTAAATTTTTTTTCTTTTGTGATGGACCTTTAAAAGCATTACTATTAGGATTCTCAGTTTTGCCCTTGTCATTAAAGGTACTGGTTAAGTGAGAACTTTTAGTCCTTTCTTGCTTTAGTCTCTCCTCTTCTTGAACACAATATGAAATAAGCTCATTAAGAGACCATTTCTCCTTCTAACAGTTATAGGATCTTAAACTGTCCAAATTGTACAGGAAGAGAGTTTAGAATAAAATGTACAAGTCTTCTTGCAACTCAAGTTTCAACGCCTTAAGTTTTGAAGCAATGTTTGACATTTCCATAATGTACTCTCTCACATTTCCTTTGCCTTGATACCTCATGGAAGCCAAGCTTTGAAGAAGTGCACTTGCTTCCGCCTTTTCGCTTTTCACAAAGCGCTTTTCAATCTCAGCAAGGAAATCTTTAGCACTTGTAATTTCTTTAGATATAGTACCTCTATAAACCTTTGAAATGTCATGCTTAATGACCATCAAACACATGCGATTTGAGCGATCCCACTTCTCATATTCTCTCCTCTTGTTAGAGGTACTTGAGTTCTTAAGAGAAGGAGGTTCCTCAATCCTTAACGCGAGGTCGAGATCCATGCAACCAAGAATTATCTCTATGTTGTCTTTCCAATCCTTAAAATTTGTACCGTTGAGGACTAGAATTGAATTTAAGTTGACAGATCTAGAAGTCATCGTAACTGTATTTTATATTAGAGAAACAAAGGAATTAAGCTCACACTGTAAAATTAATAATTATATAAATATAATTCAAATGATATTCTATCCCATCTCAAGACACCCAATGCCCCATCAATATCAAGTCTTTGGACAAAAATATTAATTGCTAGAGGTATCTTGGTGTAATGATCAACACTGATAATAAGAACATGTCCAATAACAAACCTATTTTTGGATTGATTTTCTTATTGACAAGTAAAAGACCTTATAATTATCACATGTTACCATCATAGGTGTCGCAACCGGAATCGCGACGGGACGACGATCCAAAAAGAAAACGGTTTTTGAAAAGAGATTTGGAGTCGCCATCATAGTTTATTCTGGAAAACTACAGAAAAACCATAAAATGATAAGGCATGATCTGCGAAAATGAGATTCCTGGTTCGGGAGTCGGTTACGCGTAGGGAAGGTATTAGCACCCTACAACGCCTGCCCTAAGGCAGTACCTTTAACTAAATACGCGAATATGATGTGGTATTCAAAATGTTTAACTATCCCCTAAAATAAAACTCTAAATAAACAAAATATATTTTTTTACTTTTTGGGCCCGATAAGGATTGACATTGCTCCTACGTATTCTCATTCAAAATGAGAAATCAGGGTTACGTAGTTCTTTTGAAACTGTTTGAGAAGTTTGTTTGGAAATTGTTTGAAAATTTGTTTTGAAATGATTTTGGATTTTTGGGAAGTGAACCTGACAAGGGCTAGCCTTGCTCCTACGTATCTCCACATTTGATAGAGAATCAAGGATCACGTAGTTCTGGCTGAGAGATTATTTGTTGTTTGAAATTGTTGATTTTTTAGTTTTTAAAGATTTTATATATTTTTTTTATATTTTTATAAAAGAAAGAGAAAAGGGTTTTTTGGCACAAGGACGATGCGAACGATCACACATATACCTAAACCTTTAAAATATTTTTTATTATTTTTTAGAAGAGAAGAAGAAAAGGTCCTAACACAAGGACGATGCGTGCGATCACACATGTGCCTAAACCTTTAAAACATTTTTATTATTTTTAGAATAGAAGAAGAAAAAGTTTTAGCACAAGGACGATGCGTGCGATCACACATGTGCCTAAACCTTTAAAATATTTTTATTATTTTTTAGAAGAGAAGAAGAAAAAGTTTTAGCACAAGGACGATGCGTGTGATCACACATGTGCCTAAACCTTTAAAATATTTTATTATTTTTAGAAGAGAAGAAGAAAAGGTTTCAGCACAAGGACGATGCGGGCGATCACACATGTGCCTAAACCTTTAAAATATATTTTTATCATTTTTTTATAAAAGTACATTTAAAAAAGTAGATAAATATTTAAAATCAAAAGAGAAAAAAGAAAGAAGAAAAAAAACATAAAAAATAAAATAAAAGGATAGATAAATAAGTAGTAAAATAAAGGTAAAATAATAAGCAAATAAAAAAGGGGTGCGGAGGTGCTAAATAAGAAACTAGGGTGCCTAAACAATAAAAAAACGAATTGGGCCAAAGCCCAGGCGGAGAGGGGTGCAAAAATGAGAATAAGGGGGCGTAGGGAAGAAATTCATCTTTTTGTTTTTTTTTTAGGAACAGAACGGGCCCGAGCCCAAGGCAGGGGATGGACGTAGGGGTGTAAGGGTGAAAAATGGGGAGTGCGCGTAGGAGAAAAGGTTCTTATTATATATTTTTTTGTTTTAGGGAAAGTTGGGTCAGAGAAAAAAAACAAAAACAGGCCCAAGGCCTTTTCATTGGCTCAGAAAAACTTTAGGGGTTCTCCCATTCTCTCTGCATCACGCCAGACCCAGGGTCTCCTTCTCTCGGTCGTCTTCCCTACACGCACACTGCCATCTCCGCCAAAATGGCCACCGCGCCACCATCGTCTACAAGTCTCGACGTTGGCAATGACCCCGAGTATCACCGGAACCATTGCCGACCGTGGCGCCACCGTCTTCCCCTCTCTCGTCTCCCTTTGAAATCGGCAACCAAGGGAGGGGTTCGTCCCGTCCGCCGGCTCATGCCCACGGGCCGCCACCGGAACCGGCCATCGCTAATCGCGATCCATGGCGTCACCAGAGCCACCGTCAGCCACGGCGCTGGGTTCGCCTTTCCTCTTCTCCTCACGCGCGGGAAGTTCTACCCCTTCTCCGTCAAACACCGCCTGAGCGAGCCCAGACGTCTCGAATCAAGACACCACCGGCGTCGCCGGTCACAGCCAAGGTCGCCACCGGACATCGCCTCCACTGGAACTGGCCGTCGCCGCCTCCGAATCGCGAACCAGGGTCACGCCGGTGACGCAACTCACTACCGGCGTACGTAACCCTTTTCTCCCACTTCTCCTACCGTAGTCGCTGCCGCCACAAAGGCGAAAACTGCCGCCACAGAGGCGGAAACTGCCGCCACCGAGACCACCACTAGTGTGGTTCCACAGTTTGTATATCATACGAAACGACCGGCTTGTGGAGACAATGTTTGGAGGTTCTATGTATGGGTTTTTTGGTTTCTGTTGTATATGTGTTTCCTGCTCAAGGATTCAAATTCTTCAGTGTTGATTGGAGATGAAAGGAAGCTTGAACGATGGGTTGGGTGTTTACAACAAAGTAGAACTTCATTGCCAATGGTGGCTGAAGAGAGTAGTGGTAAATTTGTTTCTTAATCTAGCATTGAATTGTGTGAGGGAATGGAATAAACTGTAGAAATCGGAAGATGAGTAAATGGTTTATTCTGTGTTTCAGGTGTTGAACATGGTGAAGAAGATAACCGTGATGTATACATACACGGTTTGGAATACTCAAGCAACAATCACACACAAGCAAAGCATAAAGCTATTCTAACAGCGATTGTAAATTGAACGTTACTTGCTTACCTCTTGGAGCTCCTTTCTCTATTGTTCAACTCTGAGCGCCTCCCCCTCGGTTGTAATTTCTTGCCAAATTTTTTAGCTCTCAGACCTTTTGTTTTCTCTCGGTTCCCCTGATCAAATGGAGTTGGACAGATAGTGGCTGGTTTTTGAAGGTGAGAAGAGTTGAGATTCCCCTTTCCCCCATTCATGCTTCAGATCCCGCTTAGAGTCAAAAGCCTGGCCTGTCAAATGGTTGCTTCCTGCCACAGAGAATCGGAAGAGGTAAGATCAGAAAGCTTGGTCTGAAACTTGGGAGGGGGAAAGGAAGGAGGGAGAAAGGGAATAAACGCAGCTTAGGGTGGTCGTATTTAAGGAGATGCGGTAGGGCGAAACTGCGTAATTGGGTTGGATTAATATAAAAAATAATAAACTAATAAAAAAACTTAAAATAATCATGAAAAGGTTAAACAGATGCTCACATCCGTTAGCGGATGTCAACATCCGTTTAAGACAAAACAGATGTCGATATCCGTTTTAGCTTAAACGGATGTTGACATCTCCTGACAGATGCTCACATTCGTTTAAGATTTTCATGTTTATTTTAAGGTTTATTTTAGGGTACGTATCTGGACAATGAAGTTGCTCTGCACTGCACCTTCACCACCCCCACCGACCTTTGACATTGATGGATCAATTCCTGAAGAAATGAAACGTTCAAGAGAAAGAAGATCACAATGAAACAATGAGAGGATAAATTGAAAGAGAGGAAGAAGAGTGTGTTTGCCGTCATGCATTCATGTAAAGGATTACAATGAGTAAAAGTAATAAAATATGAATCCTAAAAATAAAATTTTATTAAGGATAAAACAAGAATAGAGAGGTGAAATGAGGGGTAAAATAGGAATGAGGTGGTGGAGGGAGCAATGGGTGGTGGTGGAGGGAGCAACACCCTTTTAAAAATTATAAAAGTCCAAAAAGCAAATCCAGTCAGGAAAAAAAATTCTCCCAAAATGGATCTGTCTTATTGGACCATCATAGATTGTGCTTACTGGACCTTCCCAAATTAGGCCTGGGTCACAACCTGCAAGCCATTGACATAAACAGAAGCGCGAGGGTTGAACCTCGTCGTCAGCCGTGCTAGGGTTGAACCTCGCCGTCAGCCGCGAACGCTGTCATCCGCGAACAGCCCTTGTCGTGACCACCTTGACACTGTCGCGTGATGAACCAAATGAACGAAGCGCAAAAGTTGTTGTTGCGATCCTCTATGAGCAAGCGCGTCTCCTACCGTCGGACTCCCAACGCCATGAGCGTCTTCCGCTGTCGCAGAATCGCGACAGAATCGCCGCGAACACGCCATCTGCAGGTTCGCTCTTCACTGCGAGAAAACATGCAACCTCCTCCGTTGCGCAACGAAGAAGGAGGAGTCGCACCTCCACCTCAGAAAACCAGGACCAAAAACAAAAAAGAAAAACAAAAAACCAGAGAACCAGCGGCCAACCACGGCGAAGCTCCGTTGATCTCCGTAAAGTTGTCGCGAGACCCACCTTGCGAACTGCCATAGAAACCCCTATGGGTCGTGCCTCTGCCACTGTTTCGCTCACAAGCTCCGTTGTCGCGAATCACCCTCAAGTTGTTGCGTGTTGTGCCAACATGAGAGAAAGGAAGTCGCCATATGGTTGAAGAGCAGTGCCGAAGGAGAAGAAGAGAAGGGGAAACTATATCTTTCCCTCATGAGCATGATGAAGCAGGCAGAAGAAAAAAAAGGGTAGATAGAAATTGGGATTTTTCGCAAATTAGAGTTCACAAGCATTAGGTTTCAAATTGGGAATTTTTCCTGATTTGATTTAGGATTCTTAAAATTGATTTTCTGGAGGATTAAATTATAAAAACATAATTAGGATTTTAATTTTCAATTTTATGATAAACATTAAGGTTTCCAAATTGGATTTATTATTAATGCTAATTGGTTTGAATTTCAGATACACAAGAATATTAATTATGGAAATTTTATTATCATAATCTAAAACATATTCATGGACCAAGAATTTGATGCAAATTATAAATCATTAAATGAAAAACCCCTAAAATTTATAATCATAATTTCTCATAAAATTGGAAAGATAAATCAAAAGTTTTGGC